CCCCTCTTTTCTGGGGAATGGACTTCGGTGCTGTGAAAAGCAAAGTAGGAGGGGATCAGCTGAGAAAGGCTTGGCCACTGGCTCTTTCTAAACAGGATAAACTAAAGATGGGCTCAGTCCAGAGCTCCCTGGGAAGTGGAGATCACACAGGCAGCAGCCCTGTGCTCAGGATTGGAGGCAGAAATACTGAGGAGTCACTAGCTTGGAGGTTGTCGCCAGGTCTGGAGGAGAAGGAAAGTATGTGCAGAAGCGACTCACCAATCCAAGTAAGTACTGGGGGTTAGGACAAGGCACAGATAGGACCTACATGAGGACTCTCAAGCTGGGAAAAATAAGAGACGGTCTGAGCAGGGAACAGCACAGGCAGACCCAAAACTTGAAACCTTTAAGGTAACCCGTCTCCTTGGTGGGTAAAGTGGGTGAGAAATGCCAGAAACAAGGCCAATCAGGCCAGTTGGGTGTCTACTTGAGCAAGATTGGGTCTCTGACACTTGGGACAGACAGGAAGACAGAATCAAGTCACAGGCAGATGTCACACCCAAGTGGTATCTGTACAAAGCCGGGATGTTAGATGAGGACATCTTCCCCCTTTGAACTAGCAGTAACATGGGTACCCAAACCACCCTGCCTGGCCAGAAGACTATGCAGTGTTGGGAAGAGTTCAAAATGAGCAGAGGTACAGAACACTGACTCCTATTGTCCCTGCACAGTGTAGAGCCAGTCAGGGATCCTGCTTGAGGGGATACAGAAGAAAGGAAAATTTAAAATGATTGTCAAGATCCCCTGTGAGAGATTGGCCCTAAACTATGGGACACACTGATTTGAGGCCTCTGACCAGCCAAGATACTTTCAGGGAAATATGGAGGTGGTGAGGGAGAGAGGACTCCAGTGGGAGACTGGAATGTAAGAATAAGAACTTTGTTGCAGGGACAAAGAGGACTCCTTGGTGATGGCTGCATGGATTGGGGCTTGGAGGAGGTGAATAGAAGGGATGGGTCACCTGAAGGGCAGGGAGTCTTGTCAAATTCAGGCTTCATGGGGGAAAGGATTAATCTTAGCCTCCCCCCCCCCACCCCCGACCCCACGCAGGGTGGCTAGAGAAAAGGAGTGATGTGGCCAAGAAGGTGAAACAGCTGGTCACAGAATTTAGCTCAATCAACTCCATCCCTGGCCTGCAACTGAGGCTCCTGGTTGTCAGGGAGAATTGAGTCCATAAGACATTGGGTGTAGTATCCTTAGGGAAGAGCAAGCTCCTTAGGCAATGGGAGCTCCAAGGACCTTCCTAGCCTGGCCCAGACTATCCTTCCCTATTTGACAAAACAGCCCAGGTAAGCCACATCTGTGCAGTGGACAAAACCACATTTACTTCCCTCTGATCCTTGCCACAATCCTGTGATAAGATGAGAGTCACTGTGTACTTTTTAGCAGAACACCAGGGCTCAAAGTAAGTACTGTTTTTTTTTTCAGCTTTGTCCGTGCTTAGGTGGGAGAGAGGTGGATAGTGCCTTTTCTGTGAAGCCTGTGTGTTGGGAACAGTGTTTTCCACCACTGGTGTGTTGTGCTGTGTGCCTTACAGCATTTCTGTTTCATACAAGAGCAGAAGAGCTTCCAGTAGGTCAGGCCACATGCTCAGGCTCACATGGAAGGGCCCGGGCCTTGATTCCTATCTGTTTGACTCCAGACCAGGAATTCATGAAAATACTGGTGCTGGCCAAAACACCAAAGTGTCCTGGTTGGAGAGATCACTTGAGGTAAATGGACACTTCTCCAAGGAAGCTGCGGACAGGCTCCAGTTCCACAGACAGGTTGGACTCTTGGTTTTATCCTGCAGAGAATATTGGTGTAACTTGAAAAAGAAAAGGCCCTCTCCTATGGAGACTCTGGGAACAGGAGAGCATAGTAGGTGGAACTGAGCTAAGTGTCTATTCCTCAGGATTAATTTGGGCTAGAGATCACCCTAAGGGTAGGCTACAGAAGAGCACGGGGAGAAGAAAGTTCTATACCAGTGAAGAGGAAACAGAGATCTGGCAGGCTCGACCAACTGTGCCCAGCAGGGAGGGGATACTCCATTAGATTCTGTGATTGGAGAATATCTACAGACTGACCACAGACAGGGTTACAGAGAGGCAAGTAGATCCCTGAGAAGATGCTTAGGCCAACTAGAGGCCTACCAAGGAATTAGGCCAGGTGTGGAGCAGGTCTCTGTCAGGAAGGGTATTAAATGAGCTTCCAGCTTATTTACTTGTCCTAATTAACCATAAAATGAGCCCAAGAGGCAGAATTAAGCTGTCAGTTTCTCTCTGCCTATTTTCACTATCTCTATCCCTGACATGTGGCCCCACAGGCCCTATCACTAAGGCCAGAGCATTTCTATTCACTTCAGTAGAATACTCTCCATCACTGTCTCAGCAAGAGCCAAGGATGTGGACAGAAAAGTAACAGTTATATGAGGTCGAGTCACCATCCGCTTTCATCAGCCAAGCATGACCTAGTAGTTGGGACGATCTGTCAGCCTCTTTGAGACCCAGGCAAAGTTCCTCCAGTGGGTAATGAGCATACCACTTATCAATCATGAAGAGACATGAATAATCTCAAAGATAAATGTTATTGTTGGTCTGGCTGTGGAGCAAATATGGACAGTTTGCCAGGTAGCATGAACACAAGATTGGAAGTCAATTACAAACTGATTCAATCCCAGCTTTGTACTGTGTGACCTTGAAAGAGTTAACTTCTCTGCGCCTATTTGGGTAAAATGAGCAACCATTTTCTGGGTGTAGCAAAAAAAAAAAAAGAAGAAGAAGAGGAAGAAGAAGAAGAAAATAAAGGCAAAGGTGCCTGACACCTGTGGATTATCTTAGAAGCCAAAATGACTTCCCAATTGTGTTGTATTGGTCCCTTGACTCTTTTCTGGCCAGGTGGTGGTGAGCTGCATTTTTTTGTGTGCCTTGGTAGCAATGGAGGCCAGCAGCTGTTTTCTTTCCCTTTGCCGAGTTCTCACCTTCTATTACAGTGTCCAGACAAACGAGGAGTCTGTCGTGTTAGTTGATTTAAATGATGTGAACTATGACTAGTCCACAAAACAAATGAGTTGCCCATGGATGGTGAAACGGTGAGTTGGCTTCCTGTACCATCACAGTCCATGTCCTCTTGACTGATTTGTTGAGTGTGCCATCCTTCAGGAGTCAGGGTGTGGGCTTTTCACATGTTCCTCCACCACACACACTGCAGCAGCCGTTAGAGGCAGCTACAGTTATCTTCCTTCACCAGAGACAGAAGTCCAGCAGAGACACGATGGACAAGGACCTGCTTGACCAGAAAGAGTGAGCCCAGCTGACAAACACCAGGCCAAAGTAGATAGGCCTGATGCCCGCGGATTTGAGCTGGGAACTGCTTTCCTTTTGGAGCAGCCTGATGGGGGCAGCTTGCATGCCAGGACCCTTTGACCCCATTGATTAACCGTTCTGGAAGTGATAGGCACATTGCCTGGCAAAAAGCTACAGATTAAAAAAAAAAAAATCCCCACTTTAAAAAAAAAAAAAAGACCATCTATCATTTAACTTCATGGGACCTTGCGGGTGACCCTTCCCACTGTTACTGTTACCTCCCCATCCCTATCCCCTAAGCTCTCCCTTCCTCCTCTCAGTCCCCTGGGGGTCTAGACTGCAGGCAGAAGAGCTTCTCTTGTTATTTTTCTTCTCCAATTTGCTTTAATGCTCTGGGGGCAGCAGGAGGCTTGCCTGTAATTGCAGTTGTCACACCCCATCAAGCTGAGCTGGGTCTGCAGGAGGGGGTGAAGGAGGAGCTAAGGCGCCCTCGGGGTAGCTGGGCTTGAACAGGGCTCTACTTTGTCCTCTACTGGCTAAGGGGTGGGGCTGAGATGGCTTCTCCGAGGACCCAGGCTTGCAAGTCTGCTCGTTATACAGAGTGCCTGGCACTAAACCCGCCCTGAGGGGCCCCTGTTGACCTCCAGGGTGATGAGGATACACGTGTCCAGTTCACTGACTGACTGTGAGATGTAGACTTAAGAATTTTTCTAAATGTATGGGTATTATTTCTGAGTTTGTCCCAACCATCTGCTGCCCTGCAGGAGCATTAAGGCAGGGGGTCAGGATGGGCTTTCACTGCTGGCTCGGGCAGAGTGTGACTCTAGGGTCCATTGATAACCATGAGACTGGCCTGACTTGTCTCCTGGCAGCCCAGTGTGTTCTCAGATTGCTGCTTTAAGGACCATCATGCTGGTCAGGCATGCCTACTTGGACTCATGAGACAGCACCTGGGTGTAGGCACGTTGCTTCTCCTCTGTACTTTGGAGATCTGGAAGCATCTCAGACTCCCTCACCACACCCACACACCCACACACACACACACACACACACCCCTCTGCTTTTTCTGGGTCGCCAGCACCCAGCTATGGGCTGAATCTTGGTCCTAGGAAGGGCTGTAAGTAGGGATTTTCCTCTTTCTGGTGCTCCATTCTGAGATACCAACCCTTTAAAAACAATCAAACCCTTGTCTGTAGCAGTGCCTTGGCAGGGAAGCAGACCATTAAAATAGTTGGGGGTCCCTGAGACAGGTCTTTATTGGGAGTTCCTCTGGGAAACCTGAGGGCTCAATTCCCCTTTCCGTATAGAATGTTCAAATGAGGTCTTGGGAAGGTAATAGAGGAATATCATAGGCTTGTCCTGGACTCCTTTCCTGCCTCTCCCAACTATTGTCACATCCACCCTCAAAAAAGCAAACAAACAAAAACAAAACCCAACAACAACAGCAACACATACACACACACAAATACAAATACACACATACTCTCCAGGGACTCAGCTCAGCCTGGCCTGTGACAGACAGCCTCTCTCCACTGTTCTACTGAGGGCTAAGAACTCTGCTTTCTTTCTTTCGAGGATGGGAACTTGCATCTGGCCTGGAGACCATGCCATCTGCCCTCCCTCTCCCCCAAGGCCCTCACGAGTTTGCATTTTAGGTTCAGTGAGCATCTCTCAAATTCAGACCCAAACAGCTGTGTTAATGTCAAAGCCCCTACAGGAGGGTTCTAAGGCCTTGGGGCTGCTTGTGGCAGGGGTTTCAGTGTGTCTGGGCTCTCCTGTGCTTGAGAAAGGGAACCGTCCTGAGCCCTTAGAAAGGCTCCTCTTCTTGACTTTCTTCGAGCGTCCTGCTCGTGACTCAGAGACCATGGGTGTTATCCAGCCTGGCTTCTCCTTAAGCAGCCGGTCTCGGTCAGGCCGCACGCTGCGCAAGAACTTCCTAAAAATGTTTGCAGTAAGGGCAAACTTACGGCCCAGATCTCTGGACTGGCCTTTTTCTCCTTTGGGTTCACTGGATCCCCCAGTCTCACCCTTTTCCCCGCCCTTTTCCAATTCTGGTAAATCTAGCCAGTTGCCCACCAGGTCTGCGAAAACATTGTCCCCCAACACCAAAGGCTGCCGATTTCTGCCCCGTGACATCAACGTGGAGGTCCAGTCGTCTGGCTCCACCCACTCTGTCCCCTGTTGGGTACAGCTCTGGTGCTCCAGCAGCTGGGTCTTGGGAAGGACAGCCAGCTCCTTCCCACAGACACTCCTACGGCATGGAAACTTGGGGCTGCTGTCAAAAGATGGTTGGCTGGAGGAGGGACAGGCAGCAGGCCCAGCAGGACCTCCACTACCCTGCCAGTGAGGGCACTCAGGCTGTTCCTGTGAGCTCTCAGGGCAGCTGAAGGTGGGCGTGCCTCCAGAGATCTCCAGCTGTTCCAATGCTGTCTGCACTTGGAGGAGCTTCAGTTCTTGAAGTGCGCCCATCATGCAGTTCATCTGATCCTGTAAGCCATCCCCCACCTCCTTCATGGACATCTGCAAGGAGAGACAACACAGGCCCAGTGAGTGCTGGGACTGCAGGGGGGTTACGTCCTCACAGCCTTGCACCTCAACCTATAACGTCTGAACATACACGCTTTCAGGGTCTACCAAGTCAGCCATTAGAACTTCACCTAGACAGTCTGCTGCGAGGCAGGCCTGTGTCAGGAGGGGAGAAATCGGAACACTGTTACAGCTAGATAAGAGAATGAACATTAACAGCCATGGGCTAACCAAGACAGGCACTGTCCTAAAAGCTGTTCAGATGTTCCACCACTTGCTACATCCACAGTACACCGAAACTACCATTTTGGGTTGAAAATGCATTCTCTATATCTAAGCCATCAAACATCACAGCTTGGTCTAAACTATGTCAAAGTGCTCAGAGCTTATGTCAGCCTACAGAGGGAACACGTATCCAATACAAATCCCATTGCACTGCATGATAATGTATTGACTTCATTACTACACTGCACGCACACACACACGCACACAGAGGAGAGAGAGAACACAAACAGAATAGACAGACAGCCACAATGGCTCACACTTGTATTCCCAGCACTAGATTTGAAATACAGTGCATAAAAGTTGAGGCAGGAGAGTTACTTGAGATTAAGGACAGCCTTTGATATGTAGTAAGTTCCAGACAAGCCTGAGACTCAAAGAGTGAGACTCCATTTCAAACAAACAAACAAACAGAAAAATCTTGAATGGCTTTATGGATATGCCTTGTCTAAAATCATTAAGTTGGGGACTGGTGTTTTATGTGTTTGGTTGGTTAGTTGGCTGCTGTGTGTGTGTGTGTGTGTGTGTGTGTGTGGTGTGTGTGTAGAAATGTATATAAATACATATATGTATGTATATGTCAACTTACATTAATAGATTACCCTATTTTAATCCTGTCCACCACTCTTGGTGATTGTGACTATTCTTGCTTCCATCTGACAGATAAGGAAACAGGCTTATAAGCTATTAGACAGTAAAAGATTGGGCTGAGTTCAGTCTAAGGCTGTACAAAGTAGTAGCGGCATACCCAGAGAGATGGTTGGAGGGTAAGGGCACTGGCTTTTCTTCCAGAGGACCCAGATTCAATTCCCAGCACCCACATGGTAGCTTACAACCATACATAACTCCAGTTCCTGGGCATCTGACACCTTCTTCCTGCTTCCTCAATCCATTGCCCTATATGCAGACCAAATACCCATGCACATGAAATTTAAAAAACAAAAAACAAAAACAAAAACAAAACCACTTTTTTCAAGAATGAAAATAGCCACTCTTGTCCCTTCTGTGCCATTGCTCCCTGACGAATAATGGTGACAATAAACATTTGAGAGTATTTACTATGTGACAGGAATCACATTGCACAAACTAGGTATCTCATCTCCTTCAATCTCTATAAACTCTGGAGGTTGCTAGTCTCACTTCAGGAGGGAACTAAGGGACGTGACATCACACAGCTCATAGAGCCAGGATTCAGCAACCATCACTTGCAGACGGCTGGGCAACAGGGCCAGACTTGAAGGCTACTGTGTCCTCTATGAGACAGTAGTGAAGGGAGGGGAAAGGGACACTAGAGAGGAAGCATAGGGCTGAGGCTGCATCTCACTGTTCTTCACATATGACTGGTCAGGAGACAGAGACCAGGGAACTCCTTTGTACCAGAAGACCCTGCCCAACCCTGCCCAGCATCCCCCACCCCCACCCAAGCACCTGTTCCCTCATGCTTGGCTCCAGCATTCTTCTTGCCTTCTCAGCCTCTCTGGCTCTATCATGCCAGAAGCAGGGATTCCAGGGTCAGTTCCCCTAACCTCATGTCCTAGGTACCATGTGGAAGGGGCTGAGGGACTGACTTGACTTGGGTGAGGGCCCCACTTGGAGACTGGAAAGGAGAGGCTGCTTCTGATAACATTCACAAAGTTCCTAGCCCCTGTGCCCAAGCTGCCTCAGGCCTGCCAGCTCCCTCCCCACATCCTGATCAAATTACTCACAGTGAGCCTCTGTGCGGGAACCATCTGTTTTTTAAGCCCCCCAGAGACCCACGGGATCATCTTACCTCCCAGGCTTGTCTTAATGCCCAGAGCTAAGTCCAAGGCATGGTGGGGTGGGGGACTAAACTAGTGGGGGACACAGAAGCACTACAGTGTGGGCTGTCAGTTGGCCCTTTCTGGCTTCTAGGTTAAATCTCCTGCCAACCCTGGTCTGGTAGGGAGAGATCTATCCAAGCTCCCTTGAGCCAGCAGCACCAAAGGTCACTGGAGGACTGTCAGCCCCCGAGGGCCAGAAGGCCTCTTCTGGGCTGCAGAGCTTGCCCTTGCTTTGTGCATTCTGAGACAGGGAGAGAACTGACACAGGCTAAAAGCTCTGGGATTTGCTGGGGGCACATATGTGCCATTTGAGTGGCAGGAGACACAGAACCCATGGAGTAGCTGTGTCTGTCATTGGTGGTCCTTGTCCTGACCCCCTCTTTCACACATGTATTTACGACCTATTTACATCAGCTGCTGCTGGTGTAGCCCAGACTCCAGGATGCAAGTCCAGCTCAGCTCCTTCCCGAGAAATTGCATTTCCCTCCAGTTGCCCTATGGATCCCCACTTTCCAGTCTATCCTGTCACCCAGAATCTCTATTCAGTCACTGTGTTCTCGTCTAACTTGTTCCTGCAAGACGGTTGGAGTTCTCTTTTCTGGGATATCCTGCTTCTTTCCTTCCATGCTGGGAAATGCAGAAGCTTCCTCCAGACCCATGAGTGCCTGGCCACTCCTCCGCATGTGTATCTCCATCAATCACCTCACACGGGGGCTCTCTATTGTCAAAGCTCAATTACTATACGTCTCCAAAATGCCATGACCTCCAGTCAAGACTCATGATGGGAATTGTAATTCCCGGAATTTGAATCCATATCCCTTACACGTCTCCACTGTGTTTCCATCAGGACATTCTCTTAGATCCCTGAGGTATATGTCCCTAGAGTCTTACGTCTGTACTGGACCCATCCATGTCTTAACCATCCATGGTTTAAATGCTCAGTTGCTTATGAAATTTTCACTGAGTGGCTACTGTTTAAAGGTAGAGAGACTGAGATCTGCACGTCACTGTATCACCCCAGAACCCACTTGATGACACTTTGAATGACCATATGTGGGATGTGGGACTACTGACTCCCCTCCCCATACCATCCTTATAGACTGTTTGCTACCTGAAGTCTCTTATTAGACAGGGAGAGAGAGCCAGGGCCATTTCCCAAGGTTTCAATTCACCAAGCAACAAGAAATCTAAGCTGGCAGACTTTCATCCAGAAGGAGGAACACAGTCAGACCAGAGGTAGTGGGAGGAATGAAATGACCCCATTCAGTCTCCTCCAGTGTGGAAAAATCCATAAGAAATAAGGCTGACATTTTGTACAGTTTTCCAGCAGGAATGAATGTGTGTGGATGTATAAACCCAGGATTGTCCACAAGACAGGGGCTCCTTTTTAAGAAAACAAGGGCTGAAATTGTATCCATATTGAAAATATTCTGTATTGGTTCAGAACTTGGGGTCTAGAAACAAAAGGAACAGGGTTCAGATCCCAAGTCTGTCCTATAGTAGCTGCATTTTAATTTTTCTGTGAGGTATCGTTTATTAATTTGTTCTATTTTCTTCAGAGTCTTGTTATTCAGCCCATCTTGGATTCAAATTCACAATTCTCCTGCATCAGCTTTCCAAGTGTTAACATTATAGGATGAGCTATCACACCCAACTCAGTTTCTCCATTGGCCTCAAAACCACTGGGGATGATTTTGAAAATCTCATCCTCCGGTTTCCCCCCTCCCAATGCTAGGATTATAGGCATACACTCTATGCCCAGTTTTAGGCAGAGCTGGGAATCAAACCCAAGATTGTAGTAGGCAGGCACTCGAACAACTGAAGTTCATTACCAGCTCCACTTCTCCATTCTTTAGAATAAGAATAGACTAGTCTCTGCCTCAATAGCTACTGTGCAGATTAGATGAGGTAATAGTTTTCTACATGGCCCAAAGAAAGCATCAAGTGCAGGCTGGCTGTTAAGACTTCTAGCGTGCTTTCAAAATATGTCTTCCTTGGTGAATCTTCACACAGAGTGATGACAGGATGCCATGTATCACATATGGTTTGACCAAAGGGGAACACTTCTTTTGTCTAGCTCCTTATTCCCCAACCCTGCTTTACTCAGGCAGAGGAAGGGAGGAAGCGGAAGCCCCAGCTTCCTCCTGAACACTCCTGAACACTGACTTCCGTGGCCCAGGCTCAGGCAGAGGACAAACTGACACTAAAGAAAAGGCAGCTATGAGAGGGATGAAAAGAAGGAAGCCGTGGGAAGCTGGGAGGGCCGGGGCGGGGCAAACAGTAGCATCCTCTGGGCCATGTGTGACAAGGACATGGAGCCAAGAGGACAGTCTTTCCCACCAACCCCAAGGGGATGATGTCATCCATGGACAAAGAGCCAGAGACTGTGCTGGTCTCTTCACTCAGGGCGTGGGACCATCTGGGATCCCAGGGCTTCTCTTGTCTTAGGACCAAAGGGGGAGGATGGGAGCAGTGTGGAGTGGGGGCTAAGGAACAGGGTTAGCTTAGACAGCCAGAAATAAATAGCTCTCAGTACCAATCTCCATGCTGCAGGCCTCTTAATATCTCAGAGCTGCAAGGGTCAAGTCATGCCCTACTTGCTCTTGGGAGTCAACTGGTGACATCCTAAGAAGATCTGATTGGTTCTCGTCTGAGTAAACACGGATCCAAGAGCCCTGCCTCCTCTGCAGCTCTAGACTATCAGATGCAAGTACTTAAACATATCCCAGTGGAATCTCTTTGAGCAAGGCTTCAAAGGTCTCACCCACATCTTTGTCCTCATAGTGCCCCCAGTTCATTGCTTACCTCCTGCCTTGCCTAGGATTCGTATTTTTATCCTATACATTTTCTGCATATCAAATTTTAGTCTCTCTAGCCGAAATCTAGTCTTCCTAGTGTGGTCAAGAGTCC